TTAGTTGAGGGTTGCACTGTTTTTGTCAACAACGATCATCTTGGACTATAAGTGAGGGTACGTACACTTTGACTTGGATTCTATGGAGGGAGCGGATAACACAGCGCAGGTGAACCGGTGTTATGGTGGTTGCATATTAACTGCAAATGCTGGTAGAGTGTAGAATGTAGGTCAAGTAGAAACGCCTGGTATTTAAAAAGTAAAAAACTGAAAATAGTTGAATTTGTTTTTGAAATAAAGCCACAATTGTTGGTTCGCTACGGTCTAGCGTTCAGCACGCGAATGGGACTATACGTAAGGTCGCGTACATCTGTTAGCGGTATGCAGAAATGGTGTTTTAGAGCGGTGTAGATCCAGTTCGATCAATGAAAATTCACATATGCGATAAACAAGACATGTATTTTTTGTATGTGCTACTTCAGATTAGAGGGGGGAAAGAAAAGTAAAGACGATGAGAAGGCAACATGCCTCCAAGAAGATGGATTTCTGACAGGGAATCATGTCTCGAATCCAATGTGCGCTTATAGAAGACAAGAAATAGACGCAGACCTGCGCATTTATAGACTTATCTTAGAGCGTAGGTTTTTGTGCGGCCTTGTGAGAAAATATGCAGGTACAGTAGATATATGAAATGTGACATTTGGTTAACATTTTCTTTCATTCATGAACTTGAATCAACCATTTGTTTTGCAGATGGACAGAAAATTGCCATCAAACTTTCAAAGAAGATCTCTTCGATATGCCAGAAGATAAAACAAAAGGTGAAAGACTTCAACATTGCCACCGGAGCAGTCAACCAGCCACATGCCTTGGAGTACCACGATGTCATTCAAATTGACAGCCCCATCTGGTCAAGCCTTACCACCAGAAAAATGGATAACCTACCTGTCAAACAGCAACTCTTCGTGTTGTGGAATACAACAAGAAGGGCAAATGAAGAGAGGGCATGCTTGCCTTGTTATAGAACAGCATGTTAAGTATATAGTGTTAAGTACTGAATTTGACCTCTAAACTTTTGAATGCACATGTCCAACTGTTCAATGTTTAAGTGCCCCTGTAAAGGTCATAGTGCATTTTAGGCACTTTCTGTTTTTTTTTTTTTTTCTGTGGGTGGTTGTGAAAAGTTGACCAATAGATGGCACTCTTACGCCTTGGCGACAACAGCACAAAAGCCAGTGCTTTGTCAACAGGTTTCTTTGAAGCAACATGCAGAGCAGGGGAGACAGAGAGAAAGAAAGACAGAGACAAAGAGAGAAAGAGAGATAATGAGGAGTTATTCTTAAAATCTGACTGCAAATACACTATCTCATTATGACCTGACATTGAAGCAGCCCGCTTGGGACAATCAGGTTAAATATGAAATGCCAAAATTCTGCAGTGAGATGTGTCATTTCGAAATATAATTAAAATATACTGAAAATACTCTTTTTACACCTTAATGTGTGATGTTTTTGGATTTGTGATGTTTCAGTATGACTGCTCTTTAATTGACTTGTTATTGTCTAGCTGTTGGATGGATGTTAATTAAGATTCATAGGAATTATTCTATTTATCATGTTTTTTTTTAGTGCTATTGTCTGACCAATGACATGTATGCTTGGAATGGCTAAAGGTGATCACCTGTTAACTAATTACTATAATCCTCTCATCAGACAATTGAATGATTGAGGCAGCTCCTATATCTGTGTGTATATACATGTATGTGAAGTGTTGTCTGTCTACATACCTGGTGACAGTGTATAGACTAAAACATTTTGTTAATAATCAGCAGTAAGCAAGACCATGTGTGGGAGTCCCTCAAAGTTTGATTTTTAAAAATCCACTCTGTCTGTGATATGACACACACTCCACTCAGTGGGTATAAATGTGAAGAAGCTGAAATGCAATAATGAGATGTGTTGTCTCTCCAGATCAGAGTTGTGTTGGTGTAATGGGTGGATAGATTAACAATCAAATTAAAAGGTAAGACAGTCCAATCAGTCTATCTATTTAAATTAGGGTTGAATGTTAACCTGGGCCAAGTTTTATTAAGGCATGACAACTAATAACTTTAGAAACTGACCTGTGTAGGTGTTAGAAAATATTGTAAAATTGGAGACTGAAGAAAGGTTAGCTTCATTATATGAATTTGAACTTGAAGAAGAAGAATTTGAAGTTGTCACTGTATTACCTTAAATGTGCCCTGTGAAGTTTTCTTGTAAACAAACAAAAGTTTACATTCAGAGATTGTGTGTATCCTTGAAGTCAAACAAAATGCGTTAAATGCATTTCCTGCCTCTTAAAACAGTTTTGGAACATTTTGAAACCTGCATTAGTAATATCCATTATTACTAACAAGATAGTGTGCATAAAAACAAAATGTCGACCCACTCATTAAAAAAAAAAAACAACAACACAGTGCTACTAGAGGTCACCTCCACAGAGTACCATCAAAAGACAGAAACCACAAACAGCAAACTTAAATTAATACTTTTTACCTTTCTACTTCTACTAGGGCTGAACAATTAAACAAAATATTATCGAAATCGCAAATCTTGTTCTCGAGGTTTAAGAAAACATGTTTGTTTGGTGCAGACCCCCAAAATGTACACATAATCATGATTGAAAAAAAAATTGGGGGGGGGGAATTTGAGAATTGCAATATCTGTCAAAATAATCGCAATATGATGTTTATACCATATCGTGCAGCCCAAATTTACACTAAGTGAAATGTAATTAAACACAAAGCATACATACTGTAAAAATCCCTTTTAAAAATGACTGGCCGATTATCCTGTTTAACAAGAAACATATCAAACTAACTTACGTAGATTATGTATTTAGGTGTGTGCGTGTGCATGCTTATAGAACAGCTTAATGATGCTAGCCAACCTGAATTCCATGGTTATTAAGCAAGCTGAAATCTTAGCCCACATACAAACTACAAACACACACACACAAGGGGGTGGACCACCCTCTATGTGCAGGCATGCAGAGCACAGCAGAGAGCATAAACATGGAAATGCATGTGTTCACCCATGTACAAGCTGCATGGGCTAATAAATGCACAAATGCACACATACTGTACTCACGTACAGTACATGCAGGCACACAAATAGACTGGCAAAACACACAAGTGCACACATTCACGCTGGCATTGAGGAGTGACAGTGAAGTTTAAGCCTAGTGATTATAGTCTTAGAAGATGAGAGGAGCGAGGCGGAGAAAGGAGTGGAGGAGTGATGAAGAGGGGACAGAGGGGGAGGAAGGAAGGAGAAAAAAAATTGCAAGGGCGATTAATATGCACACAGCCTGGTTGCTGTCTTTCTTTTGAAAGAATTAGACATTGCTGATTGCGGCTGTTATGTCACCGACCACCACTGCCTGATACTTATTTTGATTTCTCACTCTATTGATTTGTTCTTCAATTTTTCATTTGTTGGTTTTGAAACAGCATTTCAGACACTGTAAATGGGATAAAATAAAATAAAAACATCTATCTCTTCACAGTTTATCAGCGTGTTCAGGAATACATTGAATACGGTCCAGAGAATCACATCCTCACTAAGCACTGCCATGCTTTTACTCCACTTCAACTCACCCTGACTGGCTTTTTAAAAATGATCAACTGTGCGCTTGTGTTGAACACTCCCAGATATGTTATCAATCATACTACAATGTCAAATGGTGGAAAACATGTCATAAGCACAAGTATCACATTTCATTCTGTAGGTGGCATCTGCTGACATAACTCTACAAGTACAGAATTGGCTCTGAGTAAGCACAATGGTTCATCTTAGCTTAGTATACCAGATGGCCAGTCTGAGCCCTTGTTATCTACACTTCTTTGAAGGACTGCATGACTGAGGTAGGAAACTATATTGCTAGATGTAATGGTAAAAACTATGAATTGTTCATCAATTTAAGCAAGAAATTCACTTTCTTATCAACATAGTATTAAAGTAAAGGCAGTATAAATCATATTGTTTCAATAAAGCTGACATTGCATAAATCCCTTGACATAGAACTTGTCATGGGATTTATAGCTGGAGACTAGAGATGAGTTACAACCTCCTTTGTAATAAGGAAGGTCACTATTCAGGTCATTTATCCCTGCTTTATCAGGCTGACTGGGTCAATAGGGTATAAACCTACAGCCAACACTGTGAATAACAGATGATTTGCCTGTGGCAGACCACTCATTCATGGTTTTGTAATGGCTGCTCTTCGCATAAAGAAGGCACAACAGTCCATACAGTCTGTACTATGTGAGATAACTTTGGGGTGATGGGCAATGTGGGGTTTGAGGCAGTGATAGCAGTGGATGAAGGTGAAGATTGACTCAAGTATCATATCTTATTTGATGTTATTTGATGACTAGCTAATCGGTTAGTCTGTGTTTACTTTAGATTTTGTACGTGCTGAGAATAAAAATGAGTTATTGGTTGAATGGACAGACGACAAGAAGGGGCTGGGTGGACTAATGGACGTAACCAGTGGATGGATGGACTGACTGGTGGACTAATAGATGGCAGTAGATTGGCTTGTGTCATCGTATTAGTTAGTTATGATGTTCAGAGCAGACTATAACTACAGTGAACACACTCTTTTGTGTCACGTGCTGCACTGTGTGGCACCAGGTTTGAATCCGACCTGTGGCCTATTGTGGCATGTTATCCCCTCTCTCTCCCCCTTTCCTATCTATCTCTCAAGCTGTTCTGTCTAAGCCAATCCAACAATTAGACCAGTCAAAATGCTTCTGCCTGAAATATCACTGAAACAGACGCTATCCATAGACTGCATAGTTAAACATGGACGTAGTCTCTGTAACGTCACCCATAGGCTTTCTGGAGAGCCGTTGTGAAGCTCAGTGTGGTCAGCTCTGGTCGTCGCC